TTTTCGGTTGGGTAGAGGCCTGAAAGGATACTGGTTGTGGTAAAGGCCAACGTTTGCCCTCAGTAGGGGCCTTAGTAGGAGCCTTAGTGGCCTTAGTAGGAGCCTCAGTGGAAGCAGTGGGGGAGACTACCTTAGAGGTCTCCAAATTTCTGACTTCCTTAAGGAAATCAACTACGTCCTGGAGAGTTTGGGCATGTGCCAGGGAAGTGGTTAAAGAGAGTTTCATGTGGGCTGGAGTCCCATTAATAATTATCCTTTTCATTTCTGGTTGTAGAGGCGCTGCCAGCTGCATCAGATATTCATTATGATATATCTTATATAAAATTCCTAATTTTCTGGCGAGCTTGATAGCATCGTCCAGGTTTTTCCATGAGACATCCACCTCAAGGACGGAAAAGTCTAAGTCTTTGATGGCTGTACGCCATGCTTCTGATAGTCATCTAAAGGGAGACATGACTGCCTTTGGGCACACTTCCACGGTTGCCAGTAATCCCTCATAGATGTGGGCATTTTCAATTATCCCTGAAAACTGTTTCATCTCATTACCTGAGAGTTCAAGTGAGTCTGCCTCTGAAGACCAGATTCGCTCAAGGTAAGTAACATCTTTTTCTCCTTTTTGTGAATATTCCTGTCTATATTGCTGAATTTCTGGTCTAGTAAGAGCTCTGTGTTCTATGATAGTATTTTCAAGTTTATGTCCTTCCAGTCCTTCCTCATCATCTATGCTTTCCTGTTCATCTCTACGCACACCCTTGGAGGTGTATATGTCATTCTCCTGTTACTACATGGGCAGGACTGTTGGGTTTTTTCAATATCTTGCTAGAATGGATTATTGCTGGACTGAATGATCTTAGCAGCTGCTTGCCTTTGCATCTATCTACCTCTATATCATCTATAATTTGCATAAAATAGCTGGTACCTCTGATTTATCTGCTCGAGCAATAATAGGGTTCACAGTGTGTGGGTTTGATAGGCAAATCTGGATATCTGTCCCTTTTTCATATCCATGTTTAAATTTAGTCTGTACCGCTTTCTCTAACAATTTCCAGGGGGACCCCGGCTCTAACTCCACCCTGTCAGGTACTTTGCCACATTTAGACTGTAGTTTAACCCACCACTGAGGTGCCATGGCGTTTAGGGAGCAATACTGGCTGCAAGTGTGTATAAGGCTTTAATCAGCTGCTTTCTGCAACACCAGCAGAAAGCTGACGAAGAATTTATCCTACTAATTTGTTTTGCCAGGTGGTCGTCTGTGTATCTATAGAGTCTTTTGGAACACCACCCCCCATATCCTTGTGGTTCCACTATCGTCCTTCCAACCTGTTACCCGATCTTCACCAAATACATAAGCTACATATGACTTTATGTGCCTGGCTTGCCTTCCTAGGTGGATGAACCTGACCGTGGTCCTGAATCTTTCATACTGCCATTTTCACCTCCAAAACCAGCACCAGCTACCTGGTCTTCGTCAGGCGCATAGGCCCGTAGGTGGCGCTATGCACCTGGCTTGCCTTCCTAGACGTTATGGTAATTGATTTGCCCCGATGCCAGCACCAGTTACCTACTCTTCATCAAACTACAGAGGCCCCATAAGGCGCAGTGTGCCTGGTTTGCTTTCCTTGTTATAGCACGATGGGGGTTATTGATAGAGGCTAATTTCGGAAGTATGTCTAGATTCCTTTACAAGGGCGGGAGGTGGGTTTTTTTTTCTAATCCTCTTTGGGAAATAGAAATATAGCCAATTTGTTTTAATTTGGTACGGACCTTCGCTATTTCTAAAGATCCTACCGACTACGCCAACTGTCGCGAGCAGGCAACGGTGCAAAGTCGACCATCCAGTCAGGCGCTAAATGAATTAACTTAGGTAGGAACTAAGTTGCTCATACACACACTTTATTGTAGGGAGTTACAACCTATGCCCGATGGCACCTCAGCCTTCCCCAAGCTGTGCTCACCTTGTGACATGAATCTTAGTCCCCAGGCGCTGGCTCTGAACTGGTCCTGGCTAGTTCTCAGTCTCCATATGCCTCCAGGACACCCAGGGAATCCCACGGGCTGTAAGGAGTATCCAGTCCACTTCATCCAGGACTGCTCCCGATTGGTGTGATGCGAGTTGCTGGTCGGAAGGAAGTGGCATTGGTCTTGTGGTGAGTGGTGTTTAAATATTTGTAGCAGGCCAGTTTATTGGCACCAGCTTAGGGTTAGCTGATCTGCATATTGGCACCAGCTGAGGTTTGGCTGATGTGCACATCGGGCACCATATGGTATTTGTTTACATCATAGGGCTTACAAGTGCACACAATATTGTTTTCCTATAGATTTTACAATGTATTATATTTTTATATACTTTTTCAATATGTTTAATGCACAGCAAACATAATACTCATAACAATACAAGTAAAATATAAATGTGTAGAAAGATTAGTGCCTAGAGGGAACTGTTGTTAAGGAAATAAGTGTTTGAAAAAGATGGAAAAGGCATTTCCAATGGGACTAATTCCATTGGGAATATTCTAATTTCCTCATATTCCTTCCTTTTGAGCATCTGATTCACACTTTTTTCTTTACAATAAATATATTTATTTTAAAACTAGTCATTCTTCCCTTCAGTGTCCTCTAATGCTCTCACTTTCATGATTTATTTCCTTTCTTTGTGAGTGAGTAAATTAAAGTCATGGGTACTAACATGAAACATCAATTAAGTTGAAATCAAAACATCAACACATAATGTTGAGTAGTGAATATATGATTACTGACTTAAGTGACTCCACAATACAATGCATATTAAAATAAAAAACATATTAGCAAATGAAGATTTCAGTTTTTTACATGTGGGATTTTTTTTTTATAAATGTACTTTCTTTTTTTAAAAAAGCAGAAACAAGTATTAGCCATAGTTAATTTTGATAATTCTAAGCAAAGAGTATTGTCACAACACAACTCTGGGGATTCCAACATATGAGGTCCAGCCACTTCCCACAGCATGCCAAACTAAGAGATGAGTAGTGTGAAGGGCAGAGAAAGATGATTTTTTATGTGGCATGGAAGAGGAAAATTAAGCATTTAGCCCATTGTAGGAGTATAGACATTTAGCTTTACACAGAGAAGGAGTTGGGACAAGGTGAGAGATATGTAGTCCAAGGCAAAGTATAGCCTTATTGATCATTATCTCAGTTCTGTTTCTTCAAGGGATTCTGGAGAAGTGTTAATTGCTATCACCACTGAGGGGAGCAATCTGGTTCCCATGGAATGATTATTCTTTCTCCGAGGTACAGCTTCCTCATTATAGGCAATTGTCCTCATTTGGAGGGGTGGTCTATCATGCAAGGCTTTGCTGATCCTTACCTTGAGGGTAGTTTTATTCCCTGGTCATAATGATGCTATCAATCATTCCTGTCCTTTCTGGAACCCAAGGTGATCACTGGGAAGACAGACTCAGAATAAAGGAGACAGATGTAAAACTGAGGTAGGGATACCAAACTTTCTCTTGCTTTTTGTTAATTTGTGGGTCCAAGTAAGGAGTCAATGCTTTTTAGCAAAAGCAGTTTTTAAGTGCCTGTTACAGTTTTGATTTATCTCACTTAGTGTGAGTAAATTTGCATCCACAGACCCTATTGGGTGATGTGTAACTTATAGTATGAGCATCATAGTATCCTTCAAATATCTGAAAAATTTAAAATTTCTCATCACAATTATCTCCCAAATTTTCTCGTAGAGGATAGTAGAGCAGGTTAGGCCTCTAGTCTGAACTTTCAGTTACAAACCATAATTAGGTTTGCCCATTAGTTTGAAATAGGCTTTTCCACCAAATGAGTTTGCTATAACCTTATGAAAAGTAAATAATACTTCTGCCTGGAGACTTTTCTGTTTTGAAAGTGAAGACTATAGATGATTGTTCTGCATTCCAGTGTGCAAATTTAAAAATGACTAAAAGAGGAACAAGTATTTTATGATAACTTGGCCATTGGTTTTTATAGGTTATTTTTCTAATTTTGGAGGTAATTAGAAAATGTGTAAGCAGTACAAAAAAGGATGGAGGAACTCAAGTCAGCAGTTGAGAACATTCCAGAACAAATGAAGTAAAATAAGTGTGGGTGTTGGGGTTTGGGTAAGGTAGTGGAGGAAAAAAGCCTGAATTAAATGGAATAACGACAAAATTATTAGCTGACTCATAAAATTATTAGCTGACTATTAAAGGGAGGGTGATGGAACTCGGAGACAAAATATTTCTTTATAACTTTGAGAGCATGCTCCAGAAATTTCCTTTTTATTTTCTTTACATAAGCCCAGGTAAAAGGAAAATATGACAAAACTCCCCCTGCCCCCATTCATCCTCCTGGTTTGTTAATTCTCAGTGTTCTCTGAGGAAATGTTTTTAAGAGGAGGTGCTTAGGCTTCTCTCCCCAATTGGGAAGCCAAGAAGCTGATTAGAAGATGTGGGTTAAGAAGCTCAGCATGCTCCAGGCTTCTTGGTGAAAGGTTGTGCACTAATTAGCATGATAATGATTGAGAGACAAGGGACAGTGACCAGTTTACTGATTTACAAACAAAAGAAAACCATGGTTTTCTATTTTCACATTGCATTGGTTTTTATTCTCAGGTTATTGATATTAATTTGGTTGTTGATTCCACTCAAGATGTTCTTTTAGTCAAGATGTGGTCAGCCTATGGAAAGAGGTAGTTAGAAGACAAAGAACTGTTACCAAAAAATTACGAAATTTTCAGTAGAGGATGGTATTTCACAAAGGGGCAGCTGTTTCTTCCATTCTTCAGATCTTAACCCCTATTTTGCATTGCCTACCAAGTTTTTGAAATGTCTAGTGATCTAGGAACAACCTCTTTCCCCCTAACGAACAACCTCTTTCCCCCTAACCCCCCCTCCCGCCCAATAATCTAGTCAATAAATTGCTTTTTTATTTAGGAAAGATGGAAAATAGTCAAAGAGATATGAGACAGATAACTAGCCAATTACAAAATTCCAATTTCAAGGTGTGTTTATAGTTCTCACATATATGGGAAAAACACGAGGAGTCTTCTATTGGGCTGAATCCTTAATTTATCGCTGATATTTGTAGCCATTAGTTTCCTATTCAGGAATGTGATACCACTTTTTCCTATCACAGGCCCTGTGTAGTGCTTGCTTGGTAACAAGGATAACTTAATAGCTACATAGAGATTCACATCTACCTTGGCATAATGCAAAGCGGAATGAATTAAGGTTTGGTAACACATACAGGATGGAGTAGCAGGAATGCAAATAAGGTTTACTTTACATTTTGCGGAATCTCTCATTCCCATTTTAGGTCCTGCCTACCTGGAGCAAATGCCCTTCAGAGGGGGGCGCAAAAGTAGGCGAATTTAGAAAACGGCAGCAGGCTTGCTGGAGAACTGAAGAAACAAGGACCCAAGGTCTCCTGGGGCTGTTCAGGGGTTGAAAAGAGGATAAAACGCCTTTCATTACTTTTCTCCTCCTTCCTCCAAATCCCTCGGGATGTGAAATTGGCCTGGGACAAGGGTGTAACAATGGGGAACTGACCTTGCTCCAAAGGCCTCGGACTAGGAGACCAAGGAATCCACATCCGAAGCCTTCCAGAAAACGATCCACCCTTGCTCCCTAAGAAAAGAAAACCCACGTGACTGGGCGACCAGGAGAGGAAGAGACCCAGAAGCAAGCTAGGTTGCGAGCGGTCGACTGGCCCGGCATCTTCTAGGAATTGTGCACAAACCGGTGCTTGGGCAGGGGCGGGGCTGGCGAGAGCCTCTGGCGCCAAGGATAGGAGCCGGACACCGCCAGGGTGCGGACCCTCCGCCCCTCTAGCTCGGCCCCGCCTCCCTCAGCCTGAGGAGGGGCCAAGGCGGAGCCAGCCGGGCCGCTCTGGGGCGGAGCAGGCGCTGGTGCGGGCAGAGCGCGCGGCGAAGGTCCGTAGCTGGATTGCTGTCGCTGCGGCTGCCCAGGACTCTCTTCCGCCAGCAGCCCCCCCGCCCCGCGGGCAGGCGCATCTTTGCCGCGCGGCGGGAGGCGCGGAGCCCGAGGGAAGGAACGAGTCCAGTACGCAGCGACTAGGCTGCTTCCCACCTCGGGCAGGCGGTCCGGCTCCCGGCTGTTCGGACCCGCCTGGCGTCCTCGCCTCGGTTGGGCGGGCGTCCACGGCGCCCGGGCGGGCATGGCTTCGGCTGGCAGCGGCATGGAGGAGGTGCGCGTGTCGGTGCTGACCCCTCTGAAGCTGGTCGGGCTGGTGTGCATCTTCCTGGCGCTGTGCCTGGACCTGGGGGCCGTGCTGAGTCCGGCCTGGGTCACGGCCGACCACCAGTACTACCTGTCCTTGTGGGAGTCCTGCCGGAAACCCGCCAGCTTGGACATCTGGCACTGCGAGTCTACGCTCAGCAGCGGTGAGGGCCCCGGGCGCCGCGCCCCTCCTCCCGCCCCGCGTCCTGCTTCCTGGACAGCCACCGCCTCTCCGTGGTGTCCCCTGTCCGCTTCCGTCCCACCCCACCCTTCCCGCCCTCCGCGGACCCTCGGGTTCCAGCCACGTCCCTGCAAGCACCCCTCTTCCCTCCCCTCCCCTCCCCTCCCCTCCCAGTTCCCGGTCTCCAAACCTAAAGCCACGTCCCACGCCCGCTCCCTCCCCCTGTGGCCATTCCTCCTGCTCTGGAGTAACACGTACGCTATTTTGGGTCATTGTTATCATTTAAGACGAGAACCATGTGGTTGTGTAAAAAATACAACGCCTTCCACACTCCCGTTGAAAAAACAACGGGCACCAACGCCCCAACTCCACGAAGATGTGTGGGTTTTCTGCTCAGTTTTCCCTTTCTCTTTGCTTCTCTCTCAAAGAGGATTTTGCCTGAGTTTACCTCTTAGAGCCCACGTTTCTGCCTGCTCTACTCCCCGCTATCTGGGTTTTCCCGAATGAATATTGATTCGGATTTTATTTCTTTAAAATTTTATTTCCTTTTAAAATGTGGAGAGCTGGGAGCGACGCGGATTTAATTTTCTTTCCTTTTTTGGTGACACCATCGTTGGTTCTGAGTTGCCCTTCTTCCCCACAGTAAGAAACTCCTGTCTCCTCCAGATCTTTCTCTTCTCAGACAGCTACTCACAGTTGCCTGGAAAGTTGTGCTTTATTCAGCCAACACTGAAAGCTGCAAATGGATGGGATGGGGGATGGAATAGAAGGTACCCACTGGGGCCACCAGCCCCACGGGGACTTGATGGCTTTATTCTCTCCCTGACTCTCCAGCTGCATTCTCTATCGTCACAGTTTATTCCCTTAGTAGAAATTTGTCAACTTCCAATTTCTTGCTACAAACTCTTCCATATCTCCTCTTGATTCTTCAGCCGCCTGTGTTTGCATGGAGAAAGGGGTATAAAGAGATGTGGTATTCATTCTCTCACTGCCCCTTCTTCCCTTCCCTTCCTTTTTCTTCTCTTTCTTTTTTCTCTCTCCCTCCACTTTCCCCCTCTCTCATCCTCTCTCCTTTTCTTTCCCTCTCTGTCCCTCTCTTTCTTACTCAAGAAACTCATTAAATTCCTTCTTGACAGTTTCTTGTCTTCTCTAAGACTATTTATAAAGCTTTACTGAAACATTTCAAGTTCCAATAAAGTTAAAAGACCACAAAAAGCCACAAAAATCTGATTTCCTTTGTCTTTCATTTCTTGTAACAAGAGATTCACTTGGTTAAGTTCCTTCCATAAATTTAATTTTGTGTTTATGAAAGGCTTTTTCTTAGGTATTACCTCAAAATTCCCATTGAAGGGTTTTGTTAGTCTTTGTTGATTAATTCACTGTGGAGGGGACTGGTTGGCAGCAGGAGGTCAACATTTAGGTCTTTTCATTCTCTCAGGGTTGGTTGTTTACAACTGAAGATAAAATAAATTGGTAAAATGTCTTTCTTCAGTAACCAGGGGATCCAAATAAACTTTGGAGAAAATATCTCTTCTTTCCCTTCTTCAATGGAAATGGAAATTTATGTAGGAATGCCAGCTTCAGCATGTCTCCTTAGCAACGTGAATTTTTTTTGCCCCTTTCTCTCTGTCTCCTGAAATAATAGCCCTCTGATTGCATAAAGACTTTTCAGATAGGTTAGAGAAACCAGCTTCAACTCCCATTTGCTTTTCAGGCCCTTATCCTTTTCTCTTGGCCAGGAATGTAGAGAATGGAGGGAAGCCAGCTCAAGTTTGTTTGAGCAGTATGCAGTGTTTGCTAATCTTTCCTTAATTGCCATACCCATTTATGTCAGCTTTTTCCCCTGGGCAAAGAAATAAGGAGACACAAGCTTAATGTAAATACAATGGAAATAGAACTGCAAAAAGTAAAAATTAAAGACCAGCACAGTTTCTGATCCACTCCAAATCCTTTATTCTACCTCCTTGCTTATTCTCATGTCCCAGCATGTGCTTCTATTTGGGTTCCTGAAAATCAACTTTAATCTTATTTTGCTTAAAAAATAGCTTTCAGTCCAGAAAAGGTAGAGTTTGTAGGTAAATGGGTAACTAGAAGATACAGTTTTGTTGGAGGCTACCTAGAACAAGTTCTTATGTAGTAGCATAATGGTGGTGGTGGGGGAGACAGTGAAAGAAATGGGATAAAACACAGAGAATTGCTAAGTGATCTCCACTTACAATGTACTTTCTTAAAATGTTATGTAGACTTGAACCTTTTATCCATCAGTGTTTTAAGATGAAAGGGGCACGCCAGAATCGAAACCAGTAATGCCTTTCTTGCCTGTTCCAAAGGGCAGACAGCGTTTTTCAGTCTGCTTGCTGTGTGGAGGAGCAGAAGGCAGGGAGAGAAATGTTTTCTCTGAAGATTTTAAGCCACTTCATTGTCTCTTGAAATCAATTACCTTGGGAGGAACTACTAAGGACAATTTTACTGAAGGCCCTTCACAGGATCTTCAGGGCTTAATTAAAAACCTTTGTCTTAATTAGAATGAAAACTACAATGAAGAGGCAAGCTTGTATTTACAGAAAGAAAATTTCTGGAATGTTTTCTTCTGAGGACAGTATGACCTATTTAGGCCTGGTTTCTACTGAAACTTTCCCTTTAGCCATTCCTTTTAAACTTGCATTTTAATTTTGGTACCAAATATGCATCGTTTGCTGTTTATAACCCATTTTATGGTTATAAGTGAAAGCAGAACCATGCCTCTAGTGTCCTGGTGTATTGAAGGTTGTGTCAGCACTTCTAGTATGAACCAGTAATCTGGTTGTCGGTCAGCTGGAATGCTTTTCTCTGGCTTCCCAAACTCAGTGTGTTGGGGACAGTGCAGGCACTCATCTTAACTTGTAAGTTTTCCAAAAAAGACAAATGAGAAAGCGACCAATTGATAGTCATTTGTGGTTGAAAAAGAAGGAATGGGGGGCATATGCTTGTTAAGTTTATAATAAGCAATACTCACGTGGCTGCCAGCTATAGAATTCCTTTGTAAGGATGGTTTTCCCAGTACTGTTTTGGACAACAACCTTTTAATAAATCTTCAGTCTTATTCAAAGTGCTTGTGGTGTTTTAGAATTCTCTTTACTCATGTTTAGTTTTGATAACTTTTTTCCTAGAAGATAGTGGTTGGGATTTCACAACGACAGCAATAATAAGAGAATTCTTAGTGCTAATAGAATGGCTCAAGTGACTGGCACCCTAGTATCAATATCAAATGTGCTATATAATTCTTAGGGTAATTTTACATTTCTTTTTAAAATTTTATAAGTATGTAGCTATTTCATATAAAGCATATTGCTTTTTGATGTCTATATGATTTACTGACTCAGCAAAAAGTTGACGGGTTGGAAATATAACAAGTACATTTATCCATCGTTCCACCCATAAAATACTTGATCAAATAGAGCATTTTTTAAGGAATATTGTAACATCATTCACGCACTGCCCTAAAAATAGTTGCATTTGTAACATGAGTCACTGGTAGTTTTGAAGTGGCAGTGTACTGTATGCTAATAACAGGTGAATACTATTTCCAGTTGACAGGAACTTTAGTGTAAAAATCTACTTTCGAATGAATTTATAAGAAAATATGTCTTTGGTGGCGGTTTGAGATAAATAGAACTGCCTGAATACCTGCAATTGTTAGAGAAAATCTGAGATACAGTGATTCTGGGTTCAGATACATATCATGTATACATGGAATTTCATTGAGAAACCTTACAGTGTGATTTGCTCCAGGAAAGGTTCAGCTTGTTGCTTGAAAAATGAGTTGATATTGGTGCATGTTTACAAATAGCTCAGCAAGCTTGGAAGTCCCTACAGTTAAACTGTCTTCTGGTGTCCTCTAAAAGAACATCAGTAGGACAAATGAAAAAGTAACAGTACCAGTCAGCACCCAAATTTTCTCAAGTAATAAATCAGAGAAAACCACATATAACTGAAATTAAGATCTTCATGATGAATTTTTTTAATATCTTCTAGAATTTTAAGTTCCCCAGATTTCATTTTATTTTTTTCTATAGTACTGGGCTTGAACACAGGGCCTATACCTTGAGCCACTCCACCAGCCCTCTCTGTATTAGGTATTTTCAAGATAGGGTCTTGCAAACTGTTTGCCCTGGTTTGCTTCAAACTGTGATCCTCCTGATCTCTGTCTCCTGAGTAGCTAGGATTACAGGCGTGAGCCACTGGCACCTAGCCCAGATTTAATTTTAAGAATGATGTTTTAATTTGTGGGCAAATGTAATTCTACTTCTGCTCATATTCAACAAGGATTGTAATTCCCAGGGAGGCACTTACATCAAGTTTTGGCAGAAAAGGGATTTAAGAGGTGTGTGAAAAGTTTGTTCTTAAAACAAGGTGTGGCATTTCAAAACAAAACATAGCACAATAAAACAAAAGCCTATTTCAAGCAATAAATTTTACCTGCTGTCAGGAATACATTTCAGGAATTTCCTTTGTTTCTACATAAGACAGTTTAGAAAGACCACAGGATACAGTCATGCTGCTAGGATATATTAGTGAAAATGGTTGTAGATGTTTTGAAATAAGTCTCTGAAGCATTACCTAAATATCACTGCAAACTTCTATATGCTAAATTTGTAACATAATTCAGTGGTGAGGTAGACTAATACTGTGGAGAATATATGAGACTTTAGGTTCTAACTGACCTAAACTTGCCACTTACAACTATGTGATCTCTTATAACTTACTTAACCTCTTCAAATGGTGTGTCACGAAGATTAAATACATGAAATGTTGTATTTTTTTTCATGTTATATATTTTAGAAAAACAAACTTAAAAGTAGTATTGTTCCCAGTGGGAGGATGTTTTCCACCTTAAGTAGTAACTTTTCTTTGCATTGCATAATGACTGAAGTGCTTTGTTCATTTCAAACTTAAATATTTTATATATAAAGCTCTTGGTAGGTCATGATTACAAAACTATTA